TCTCTGTCAATATTGTATATATTAATTTTATACTTTGGATTATCATCTAATACCACTTTATTTTGTTGCTCAAGTTGTTCCAGCTTTGGCCATTGGGACTCTTTCAGTTGGCTCCTGTGTGACTTTGACATACTCCCATCAGTATGTGTTTTAAGCACTTGCTTACTTTCTGGCACTGTAACATGCTCCCGGCTCATCTAGTATTTTCCTTGCCCTAGCCGTGGAAGCAGCCATTTCAGTAGAGATCTGATTCCTTTTCTTTGAAGAGCACAGTTAGAAACCAAGAACTGAGTGCCAGTGTGCTCACTTGGGGTATTGCTGCTTCTAGGCCTTCTGAATGAACAGAACTAGGAAATACATGTGTGTATACTGAGCTATATGTACACGCGTATCTCTCTCTCTCTCTCTCCCTCTCTCTCTCTCTCTTTCTGTCTATCTGTCTGGCCAAACATGAGTTCATTATGACATTTCCAACCCTAATACAGTGCCGTATGGATCATTCTAGCTACCCCCCCCCCCGCCTTGCTTATCAATAAGCTCCCTTTCCAGCAGTGAGAAACCTGGCTCCCAACATCGACTGTCCGTTTACTTATTTATTCTATCCCAGTGTCCATGGATAGCAGTTTCAGAATTAACTCATACTCTCATGTAATGCCACACACCTTGATTTTTCTGTTCCTTTTCTCTTCCTGTCCGGTGATGATTCATCTTACCCCCCAAAAGGAAGAGATTTGATACAACCCAAAGTAAACTCTGATTAGCAAGAGAGTAAGGATCTCCATTAGTGAACTCAGGACAAGGATAGCCACTTGGCTTCCTTGGAAACCATTATCCAGTCTCATCTGCGATGGCTCAGAGCTTGAGTTTATTCTGATCTTGTTGCCTACTTGGTTCTGTGTCCAGAAATGTATGCCCCTGTATATGATAGTACATATATGAAGGCATTTTTCAGTTGAGAGAGGCCTCAAGTCAGTATAGGAAATAAAGTCAAATCTTCCCTAAACACTGCTCTAAAGTTCTATGGCCTTTAAAGGGGAAAGTGGCAGACCTATACTGGAAAACATAAAAGCTGTAAAATTCATAAATATTTTAAAATGTTGATCTCAAGTGTGAAAAAGAAACTTCTGATGAAGGACAGGTTACTTTTCAAAACATGAAAGTCAATCAAAATTAGCCTTTAAAACAGGAAATTTAGACTTTCATCTGGGATTTACCTAGCAGTTTGTTCTCATCTGCATGTAAATGTAAGATTCAGGAGACTTGTGAAAATTTTTTTTATTAAATTTCAAACTGATTTTAATGGTAAATGGTTCAAAAGAAAAATTATAGCTGTACCAATGGAACTGGCAGTCTCCTAAGTGTTTGGAGGAGAGAAGAGAGTTTATATTCTGTTCATACTACTCAAAAGCACATGAAAATCCCCTACACATTCATGATTTAATAGAAATACAATGGCGGTGTGGCCAACTCTGCCAACATATGGTTCCTAATTGGAAGTGTAGTTTGCTTTACTAACCCAACAATTACAAAATTACAGATGAATTTATTCAGTCAGAAAAAAGATACGTATGTGTACGCACTGCTCTGGTCATTGGCACTGGCCCAGGCCCTTTCCAGAGCAGAGATAAAGACTAGAACTGTAGATGCATAATAAAGATAATGGCAGTTAATTTCTTATGCAGCTATGAATTTAACATTAAGGCTTTAATTCTTCACTCACTCAGTCTCCCCATCTGTCACCTAGAGAATTACTTATTTTTTGTTTTGTTTATTTTTGTTTTCAGGAGAAAAAGTAGATTATTCTTAAGTGGTTTGGATCAAAAGCAGAATTTTTATGGAGTGTCAAGGAACTGGATATGTGGCTTGAGAGAAAAGGAGAAGAAGATGTATGTCTATAGCCACAGAGATGAATTTGAGATAGAAACCCTCATTCCTATGTGTGTAATAGTCAGCCCTTATATCTTTCACAACATTTAAATTGTACAAAATTAAGCCCTTCAGCATAAAATCTCAAAAAAGAAGAAACACCAGACACTCAGTTCCTCCCTAGGTTTGCCGCTTGTTTGAGGAAGGTAGTTAGACAAGAGTGGAAGTAAAGTAAATCAGGATTTTACATTTTCACTCTGGCTTAGCTTCAAAATCAGTCTGTCCTATATTTCTCTCTGCCTATACCCTGTCCATATAGGCAGGTAAAATAGGGTCAGAAACCATCTATGGAAGAAACAGTCACTGCAGGATTTGCATTTCTGTCTGAAACTAGAATAGGCATCACTAGAGGGAAGAATGGAATTTATCCTTCTTATTTGGAAGGAGCTCATAAGGATTTAGGTATTAGTGTATATTGATTGTATTTTTTCCTTCAGTTTAAGATTTTTCTAGTTCTGGTATGTCAAGTGATTTTTGATTGAGATGTAGACATTTTTATATTATGCTATGGGCTCAAAATCCTGTTGAATCCTTTTTTTTTTTGAACTGGCTATGTCTGCCACATCTCCAGCATTGGAAGGAAGGGTACTGCCTCATTACTGCCAGGTAGAGGTAAAATTCCAGGTTCCCCACTCATCCTCTGTTGATACCTTATGGTGGAAATGGGGGCAGGGAATGCTCCTCATTACTCTTGGGTATAATGGTATTTCCAGATCCCTGCATGGTCTCCACTGATACCACAGTGGATAGGGCTGGTCTTGTTCCCACTGGGCATTGGTTTGATACCACCCCAATATTTATGGGGATGGAGGAGGAGAGACCCCTCATTACTGCTGGGTAGGGGTGGACAGCCAGGCTCCCATGTGGTTACTACTGACACTGTAGAGGATGGTTCATTACCAGCTGGTGGGCATGAAGTTCCCAACTCCCTCCTTGCTCTTCCCTGAATTCTCTGACAGGGAAGTTGGGGCTTCTTGTTACAATTTCATGAGGGTAGACATCTAGTCTACCCCACTCAGCCTTTGCTGGCATTCATGGTGGTAGTTTCTCTTGTGGTATTTGGCTGGAGTAGAGCAGTTATTGTCTAAAGGTTTTTCATCTTGCTAGGCTGTCCCTTTCTTGCTCTTTTGTCTGGAGAACAGGCTTTTGTTGAGGCTTTTTTGGTCTATGCCTCATGGTGTCTCCAGGTTGGTGACCGCTTCAGCTACAAGTCTGGTATAAATGAGACAAAAAGAAAACCCAGGAATCTCACCTTCATGTTGTTTCTTGGGTCCTGAAGTCTCAGGGTGGTCTACTTTCTTTTCACTTTGCAGAGTCTTCTTATGCTTCGTTTATATATAACATCCAGGGTTTTTAAGTTCTATTTAGCAGGAGGAATAGGAAAATAAGTCTACTCCATTTTCCTGCAAGCAAAAGTCCTTGCCGTTTAGTTTTTCTTTTGTTTTGTTTTTCCCAGTATTTTCTTATGAAAGTTTGAAGACGGAAGAATTACACAGTTAATCACCACGTATCCACCCCAATATTTAACACTTAACTTTTTGCTATATATATTTTTTGAGTATAAGTTTTATTTACTTTATTGTATTTATCCATCTGCCCATTCCATCTGTCTGTTCATTAATTTTTTTTTTTTTTAAAGATTTTATTTATTTATTTGACAGAGAGAGACATAGCGAGAGCAGGAACACAAGCAGGGGGAGTGGGAGAGCCAGAAGCAGGCTTCCCGCAGAGCAGGGAGCCCGATGCGGGGCTCGATCCCAGGACCCCGGGATCATGACCTGAGCCGAAGGCAGACGCTTAATGACTGAGCCACCCAGGCGCCCCTGTTCATTAATTATTTTTGATGGACATCAGTACACTTCACCCCTAAACACATCAGCATGCATATCATTAATTGCATGCAAAATCACTATTTATTTATGGTTTTTTTAAAGGTAAATTTTATATAAAGTAAAATGCATGATATCATAAATACCATTTGATGAGTTGTGTATGATCTATCCCTTATTGAGATAATTTCAGTCACCTCAGTAAGTTCCCTTCAAGCCCCTTCTCAACTAATGTTTACTTCCATCTCATTCCAAGAAGCAACTACTGTTCTGATTTTCTTTTTTTTTTGCTATTGTCATAAATTCATTTTGACTCCTTTAGAACTTCATATAAATAGAACCACACGTATGTATTCTGTTGTGCTTGGCTTTTTTTCAGCACAATGTTTTTGAGAGGCATTCATGTTGTTGTATGTATCAGTGGGGGTTTATCATTATTATTATTGCTGAGTGTTATTTCATTGCATGAACAATACCATGGTTTATCCATTCTGGGCTGCTTCCAGTTTTTTGCCATTACCATTTAATAGTAGGAATAACATAAGCCATCATTGTCTACCTTCTGTTTTGAACATAATGCAAGGCAACTTAAGGTTTTGGGCCTTTCTCTGATTAATAAGTTGATTAAGGCACTAAAGATATGTTCTATCACACACAATACCCACATTTTCCACACATTTCTTATTGTTAGCGAAAATTATCAGTTTATTGGGAAGCTGAAAACTTTCTTTTTAAATAGAAGTAAAAGATAGTTTTAGATTGTAAAAATTAGAATTTAGCTTCTTGGCACTACATTTTATTTTGCAAAGGAGAAACAGTGGTTTTAACTACACCATAACTGTAGTATTCATTACTGAGAATGCCATACTAGCCTCTGGAGGAACATCCTATTTCAGGAATACTTAGAATACTCTCTTCCTCCACAAACTAGTGATGTAGTTGCTGCAGACGGATCCAGCTGTGTTTCACAGACCCTTATTTGTCTGGCCCTACCTATTATGTAAGTCTCTTGCTTCTTTTCTATTTTCCCAAAATGATTATCTAAGGGGACTGTAATTTCTGATTGATTGATTTACTGATTGATATTAGGGGAGTTCTACCAGCTAGGGAGTGGGACAAAATAAACTTTACATGAGATTCCAATTAAAGTGGTCATACTTGCTATTAAAGTGCAGGAAGAAACAGATGATGTTATCTCAAACTTTTTATTACAGCTTTTCTCTGACTTTATTTTTCTTTATACAGTTGATGGACTGGACAAAGCTTCTGTAGCAAATTCGGATGGCCCAACAGCAGGTTCCCAAACGCCTCCCTTCAAGAGAAAGGGGAAACTCTCCACCATCGGTAAAATCTTTAAGCCTTGGAAATGGAGGAAAAAGAAGACCAGTGACAAATTTAGAGAAACCTCAGCAGGTATGAATATCATAACTTTGCTAGAAGATAAGTTGTTAAATTTTTAAAAGATAAAAAATTGTGTCTTGTAGGGCTTTTTTTTTTCCCCAGAAAAAAGTCCATATTTGAAATGAAATTAGTTAATTTCAGGATAAAACAACTTAGAGTTCTGATTTGCCTCCTTTTCCACTCACTGACTTTCTAATATATTCTTGTTTTTAACTGTATACTTGTAAATTCATATGGAAAACTAGTGTGGAGGGAGGGGAAGGTGAAGGAAGGTGAAATAGAAAATTAGAACGGAAAATGTTATTTGTCAACATTGTAGCTGAAATATCCATTCCCACACACACAATATTATCTGTCTATCTACTTAGTTCCAGTAGCACAATCCTATTTTTAATTTAAAAGTTTTTTGAATGTTTTTTTTGAATGTATTTGTTTCGGGGCAAAATGTAAATGGCTGTTTGAAGGAAAAGTGTTGCTATATTTTATTGTTAAATTTAAAATTTCCATCATGCCTTTAAGACAAATAAATGGTTTCTGTCCTAAGGGAGTCATAACACTATTGGTGTGAAAATTTATTATTATTATTTTGTGGATTTGTTAAACTTTAAGAATTACATTATTTAGTACCTTTCATATGGACTCATGGAAGAAATTAGCTTTAAACCTCAGGCCTGAATTAAGCCCAATTTAAACAAGTGTCTGGTATCAGTGATATTACCTTTAAGGTAGAAAAGCATTTATCTCTTGATGTAAGTTCAGCATTCTCCATGCTTATTGTCTAATACAGCCACTTCATCAAAATTCCTCATTGCACCAAGGTTAATATTGTCAGTGTATGTGCAGGGTCACAGAGCATATCTTACTGGTCTGTGCTGACATAGGAGCTGGCCTTTAGTTCTAGAGCTGTGAAATAAAATAGAAAATACCTCACATAGCACAAAGGTATGGAATAGGGACACCAAAGCTTCCTAACAAATTGCTTCTGATGCATTTGCAGCTATATAACTTCTTTGAGCATTTAATGTTTAAAAAAGAAATAATGATACCATATCTGGGATTTGTTTCAAAATCCTGGAGGTGGGGGTGAGTGTAGATGAAAGAAGATTGGCCACAAGTTGGTAATTGCTTAAGCTTGGCGATGGGTACAGGGTGTTTATTATCCTCATGTCTCTACGTGGAGATACTGGAAAATTTCTATAATGAAAAGAGAGGGGGGAAAAAGAGACTTGGCTTAAGAGGAAATAACAATAGCTTGGTTATTACATTTTCTGTAGTTTCTAATCGGCTTCTTGGATTAGAAGCAGTGGAAAGTGGACAGAGTGCTGTGCTGAGTGAGGACATCTGAGTTCTGGTAGTGTCCTTGCCTCCCAGGTACCATGTGACCTTGAGCAAATCAGATCAGAGTTGAATGAGTTGAATTCCAAGGTGCTTTCAGTTCCAGATTCTGTTGTCAGTCCTTGACTCCTAATCCCTGGCTGGACATCTTGTTCTCCCTTATTCTTCAGTTGTGAATGGAACCACACCGGTCTTCTTAAGTGTCCCCCTCCCATGTTTCCCTAATTGTTGAGAGAATCTGGCCCTTCAGGTTACCATGGCTACCCAAGATGGGAGTAGGGCTCCAGACAGTGCCGGTAAGAAAATATTAAAAAGGGAGGATGAAAGTCTCCTTGTTTGTCTAGCTTGCCCTTTACTTGAATCTTGGCTGCTAACTTTTCTCTCCCTAATGTAGAAAAGACAGGCACAAAGAAATTCTCCTTCACTTTTCCTTGTCATCTATTTTTAATATTCAGGCTGTAACCCTGAATATTTAAGAAAAGTCATTTTAAACAGCATTAAGTGTTATTTTATGTTATCCCATATTTGTTGAGGAAAGCCTAGCCATCTTTCTATTGTTTTCTTTTCAGATTCACATAGGATTTTATATAAGTTTAGCTCCAAAGAGTTATTTGTGGATACTATATCCCTAGTTCCTAAAGACTACCAAACTACATTAACAACCTGAAAAAGTTATTAGATGTTTGTTTTCTTTGCAACAAAATTGTGACATAACAGAATAAAGACAAGCCAAGGAGATATGTTAACAATTCTTTGTGAATTTATCTGCTACATTTGTGTCATTTCTTTCTAAACCCATCTTAATGTCTTACTTGAATTTTGTTAAGATGTTATCAAGTGTCCCATTATAAAATACTTTGTTGTTACCTTATATATATGCTTATTTTAAGGCTTAAATTTCTGCTGAGCTTTATGAAGTGTATCAGTAAAGCCTAAAATAAAGGGAGGCACAATGGCGTAACAGATGTTTTATTCACATTGAGGAAAGATGTCACATCTAGAGGAAAACTGATGCATTTGGAAATAACTAAGAGAAAGGTGTTTTTTTCTTTAATAAATTGTCTCAAACAGTGAACTCTAGTTGTTTGGATATGACCAAGGCCATGTGCTGTCTGGCATACTATAAAGTACACCTTAGGCACGTCCCACAATATGTTGGGATCTGAAAGAAGATGCATTTCTTCCAAGAAAAGTAAATCTTTGTTTTTCCTTCCCCTAAACTCCTGGCGTTATAGTCACATGGCTATGAATCTTACTGCGTTCTGCTACCTAGTGATTAATGCTGCTTTTCCTAGTCTGGGTTTCTGTTGTAGGAATTTTTAATTGGTAACAGAGAGGATGCAACACTGGTTTATTAATGCCATCGTAATCAGTGCCATTGTACTCATATGTTTGCTGTGGTGGTGGTAGTAAAGAAGGATCCTAGTTGGTGGAGCATGTGAGTCTTGATCTCGGGGTATGAATTTAAGCCCCACATTGGGTGTAGAGATTACTTAAAGATAAAAATCTAAAAAAAAAAAGAGAGAGAGAGAGAAGTGTCCTGTCCTCTGCTTGCTTTGGTAGTCCTTGAGCCAGCTATATTTTGGAAGGCCATCTTGTCCTATAAGTCAGGCTGGGCCTCGGCCCCAACTTCAAGTTCTCTGGCCTTGTTTTAAAGTGGAAAGTTACCTGTCTCTTCAACTCTGTGTAGGCTGGTCCACAGACTGTTGGGTCTAGGGCAGGAGAGCAGTCTTCTTTCCATTTACTTTCCCCCAGTGCCTCTTTTCTTCACTCTTCATCTCCTGAGCTAGAGGGCCCTTCTCTGGTCCCACCTTTGCTCTCAGTTACATCCCTTCTGTGTCTTTAGAACTCAAAATGTTATTTACACTTCTTTTCCTACATAATTATTTCTTCCTGGTTTTTTTCTTTCTTTTTTTTGGTGGGGGGGTTGCCGTGTGTGTAGTGGCTGAGGTTCCTCCCTCTGGATCCTTAAATATATTTCCATCTCCACAAAGATAAGAATACAAACAAATCCCCTGTCTAAACAACACTTGTTCCTCCAACTTCTGCAGAGTCTGTTGCCATCAAGACCAAACATCTTGAAAATCCAGCCAATGTCACTGCTTCCACGTCCTCTCCACACTATCATTCCTCTCCCTCTGCCATCTCTGCCTGCATCCAGCACTCCACTGATGACACTCCAAGCCTCCCAATCGGGAAATTCAGAGTCGCTCTCTCATTTTCATCCATCCCAACCGCTGCAGCATTTGCCATCACTGGTTGGTCTTCCCTTGATTTACAAAAGATGTCATTATCTTGGTTGTCTTTGACTTTTCTTGCTGCCTTTTGTCTCCTCTTTCCCCCTTCTCCTGTCCCCTAAACCTTTGAGGGAGTTTGCTACGTGTCTTAGCCCTTCCCTTTCTTTGTGCTCTTTCTCATCATGCCATCTCTTCTCAGTACCCACATCTCTCAAGCCGAGTCTCCACCCAAGACCTAGGCACATCTACCCAAGCACTTGATGGGTAGCAATGCCTAAGGAGTGCATGTTAACTCGAAATCTATTCATAAGGTCTACATATATCTGCACTGAAAACGTGATGCATGCAAGTATTGTTCTGGAGTCAGATATTCTGGAGTGAGTGAGCAAGCAAGGTTCCCGCCCTCCTGGAGCTTTCATTCTAGAGAGGTAGATGCTATGAATGAGCACAGAGTGAGAGAAGAGGGAGTGGAAAAGTACTATGTACAAAATCCATTTCAAAGCAAAACAGATCCCTTGCCAATCCCAGCTATCTGTGCTGTTGCAGACATGGCTTTATTTGGCATCCAGACTTGGAACCATAGAGTCCTTTGACTCTTCCTTGCCTCTTACCATCTTCTACATTCCATTAGTTCCTAAAACCTTTCATGTGTTTTCTCCCGGTACAGGCTCTCTCACATTAGCCTTTCTTCTCAATCCGTATTATCTGGTCCTTATCACTCTATTATTGCAGGTAGCCTCTTGGTTATATTTAGGTATTAGCTGTACCAGCTATAGAGAGCTAGAGAATGCTAGAGAAGGTAGGGAGAAGGTGAGGTTCTGGCAGTAAATCTGCCCACAGGAGAAACTGACCTAGCTGGTGAGGCTGACAGTGAAGGTTCAGGATGCCAGAGGCTGTCAGGAACCCCAGAGTAACCAAGATGACAACTTTCCAAGTCTCAGGCCAGGCAAATAGAGCAATGGGTATTTCACACTAAAATGGCTTGTGTTCTGCCTGATAGGGTAGAATAGGAGAGCATCCAGGTAAGTGAGAGTGGGAAATCCAGGTAGACCTTAGTAGCCAGGGTATTCTAAATTACTTAGGTGGTAGTACTCATGAGCAGATGGTGCCTGGTACAGGAATCAGAAAGACTCAAAGAGAGACCCTCTCCTTTTTTTTTTTTTTTTCAAAGGAACCAGGGAATAGAACTGGTAACTAAGACAAGAAGTTACCAAAGGATTCAGGACAGAAACTTGCTGTATGAAGTGGAACACAGGGAATGGGTTTGAGGGAGTGGTCCCCTCAGGCCCCAAACCTCAAGTGCTGGAGCTCCTGTTGCTAAAATGGTACAGCGCAAGAGCTGGGTGACCAGAAAGAACAAGGATTATTGTGGATTTGGAGAAATAGGTAGGCAAACTACCCATCCCTACCCTCTCTCCTCTAGGTCAACTTAGATACCAC